AAAATGGTTCTTTTTCTCTCTCATTTTCTTTTTCCAGAACATTTTTTCCTTTTCAGAAGACAAAAGATATTATATAGTTTAAATAACCTGATCTGGGCAAGAGCTAACAAATAATGAGGATAAGACTGGTACATTAAGTGCTGTTTCAGCTGCAACTTTCCATCTGTCTTCTACTAGAAAATAACTAAAAAAAAAATTAAAATTCTTATCAAGAAACCAGAAATTCCAGTAATTTGGGTAAATAATGTTGTTTTGCATATTAGGTAAAATAGTTGATATACAAAATTAAATATGATGTATATTAAAAAATCAAAATACTGAGTTAAGTTTAAGGTGTATTAGGGATTGTAGTAATCTTTAGGCAGCAGAGTGACTGCCTCTGTGGAAGGAGGTGGGGGACTGGCCTTTACCAGACAGAGAAAGATCCATTGCAGGGGACAGCTGAGCCTTGGTGGCACCTCTAGGGGAGCTTATTTAAGAAAGTATAAAAAATGTTGCACTTCAGTGTCAGGAGTGAGGCAAAAAGCATGAAAAAAAACCACTGTGAACACCAAGGAGAGAAAAGAAGAGGGAGGAGCTTGTCTCCTTTACAAAGCATCTGTAAAGGGGACCAGGCTGGAGTAGATATTTCCTCCCAGACCATGGGAGAGCCACACTGAAGCAAATATCTACTGCAGCCTGCAGAGGACCCCGCCCTGGAGAGGTGGAAATGTCCTGGAGGATCCATGGGCTGTGGAGTTCTCACGATGGAGCAGGTTTACCCTAAAGGACTGCAGACCATGGGAAAGATCTATGGTGGAATAGGAAAAAAAATGAGAGGAAAAGGACTGACACAGATGAAGTGTCATGAACTGACCACAAGTCGTATTCCCTATCCCCCTGCACTGCTCAGTGTGGAGGAGGAGGTAGAGGATTTGGGAATAAAGGAGGGACACTAACTAAGCCTGGGAAAAAGGGAGGGGTGGAGGGAAGGTGTTTTAATCTGTCTTTCTCACTATGCAAACCTATTTTATCTGGCAGCAAATTAAATTAACTTTCCCCAAGTCAGTTCTTTCTTGCCCATGACAGCAATTGGCAAGTGTTCTCCCTGTTTGTGTCTGGACACACACATTCTTCCATTCTATTTAGTCCCCTTATCCTGTTGAGGAAGGGCTGTGAGAGAGCAGCTGGGGGGACAGGGGGCAGATGGCAAAAGTCAACCCACCACAGAGAGAGACAAGGGTTTATCTTACAAGATAGTTGTCAGGCAGCGTAGAAGATGGTTATCAACCTAGATAATTCTTTTTTGTTGCTATTGTTGTCTGCATATCTCATATCCTACCATCTCTTTAGACACACTTCAAAGGACTCATTGCCTGTGCTACCTTGAAACTACATTTTGTCATTCTGTTGGAAAACATTGTCAAAAAATTTTCTAAGTGATACTGAGTTTGTGCACAGCTAAGAATATAAAAAAAGGAAATCACAGAAATCTGATGTGCAATGTGTTGTAATATTAAATTTTATTTGTAAACTTGATATGTTAGCATGTAACAGATGAGCATATTTTGGAATGGATAAATATAGGCATAAATGCATTCTTAAATCAAGTCAGGGTCCTGTATCAAGTGGGACTGTGCTTTCATGCTTAAGTGGTAATACATATTTTTTCCCTGTTTGTGTGAATGTAAATTTGCACCCTGTGAGAACTAGAAGTATACTCTTCTTGATTCACAAGTGGTTTTAGTATTAGTTTAGCCTTAGTTTTAGCTAAATTTATATGTACATATTAGACTTACAAAATGCTGGGCATTTTTCCCTATTTGTCTTCATTTCAGTATTTAGGAGCATATTATGCTTCTAGGTATAGTGTTTGTGGAGAGTTTTGGAAAAGAGCTCTACCAGTGCCTCCCACAAAGGAGAGATTAAGTGGTTCAGGAAATTGCAGGTCTGAAAAATTCTTCCTTGACTAAATGAATCAACCACAAGCATTAAGCATTGTCAGAAAATTAGGTCACAGATAACATAAGCCAATTTTCTGCGGAACTCCATTCCAGAGTAAGTTAATTTTACTTTTGCTGTTCTTTTTAAGTCATAGTTGCAATGATAAAATGCCCATGGTCAATGGTGGCATCATCTTGTGAATCTCTGGGATGATTTGAAATGACTTTGTGTTTCTTTTCAAGTTGTTCTGATGCATGACTGGAGTTCTCATTAGAATGATCTTCATGCAAGGCCTGCCTGCTTCCCAGCTATCATCCACCTCCTGCTTTCCATTTTTGTCTATAGTAGAGCTGCATCCGGCAAATACTTTGAAATACGCTTTGTGGTTACTAATTACTTGGGCTGATTTACTTAGTTAAGTGTTCCAGCACAGTTGAGTCCTTTCTTTTCCTATTGTATCTGCCTCATTATTAGTTATAAGGGTGACATTTATAATCTAAATGGGATGAAAGCATGAAAGGGAGGCTGTGTAAGTGTAGGATGATTGTGCAAGGGACGAATAAGTACTGAACTGTTAAGGCTAATTATAATGTACAAATATGGATTCAAAGGTTTTGTTTGTATTTTCTTAAAAATATTTTTAAGGAATGGTTTCAAGGTTATAGACCTATCCACAACTGTGTTAAAATATGTGTGCAGATGTCCACAGGGATAATGAGCAGCACAGAGTATGAAATAGAATTCTGTGTAATAATACTTACTAAAAATGTCTAAATAAGCATAAGGGATTATTTATCAAAGGAATGACATTTTAGAAGCAAACACTAATAAGCAGGAAATAGTGAAAATGCCTTTCAGGAACTATACTTTGGCAAGGTATTTGGCTATCTTAAAATAAGTAATAGCGTAAAATCAGCCACATTTGTACATTCTGAAAGCTCACATTTATAAAAGACTTGTAAATATGTGTGGGCAGATTCTCTTTCTAAGCTGTTGTTTCTCTCTCCCTATCAATAACCAAAAGAAAAACGTGGTATTTAGATATTCAATTGGAGGAATCTGCTCCCCAGTCTCCCCCTCTGCCCCTAGCAAAAAAAAAAAAAAGTTTTAGTTTAATCCTAAGAATTAATTTAGTCATTAGTGAGTGCCCAAATATTAAAATACTGTATCTTTTGAATACACAGATATGTTTTAAATGAAGAAAAAAATCTCAATTCCTAGGTCACCCCTTTGTCAGATGCCAAATCTTTGCAACTGAATCTTTTGTTGTATTTTCCCCACACTTAACTTTTTCTTAAGCCCCCTATCACCACAACAAGAGCTGACTTCACAGAACAAGATGTTATCTATAAGTAGCCATGCAGGAGAATTAGTCCAGAGAGCCACCTTGTTTGTTTATAGCATCTTATGACTTCTAGAACTAGTTCCATGAGCAGCTGTCAAACATTTAACTGTGTATTTCAGAAGAGTGCAGGAGTAGAAGGATGCCTAAAGCACTACAGAAACTTATTTTTTCATGCACTCAGGGATTTCCTAGATCATATAAAACAAACCTGTTAATGAACCCTCTCATCTCACACTGGTTAAGGTGGAGATATTGTTAAGAAAGTGAGGTTGCACACTAACAGTTTTTTTATACTATACATTAATAGCAGTTTTGATCAGGTTCGTATTTGTTTCTGGAATTTCACAATCATGTTTCAGAGTTATATTTATAGGTTACTTCATCACATGTTGTATTGCCATGGTACTAAAGGTAAGAAGAAATGTGCTCTTGGCCTTGGCAGTGAAGGGTTTTGTAGAGGAAGAGGACTCTCAATATGATTGAAAATGGAAAAGGAAACACAAACCAGCATAATTAGTGTTGAAAATAATGCTATAATTTTCCAGTAAATAATTATATTTCTTAGATATGTCTTTCTAATATTTTTTATGTTAGAAAATTTTCAGCTCTGATATTATTCTTGTTGTTGAGATGTTTGCTGTTAGAATATACATCATTGAATCAATAGAAGTAGAAAAAGCAAAAACATCATAAGACACCCTCTGCTAAACACTAGGAGGAGAGGTAATATGCAAACATCAGTTTTGAAGATCTGTCTGCAGCTCAAATCAACTTAAAGGCAAGGGGTAGCAAAAGGACTCATTCTAGGACAATGGGAGATTTTAAATCAAGCTTTCATCTGGGCACTTAAAATAATTAGTTCCATTAGCCAGTTGAAGTGGAATTGGCAAACCTAAACAACACAGGTTTATTTGTAGACCATTTATTGTTTAACATAGAAGGAGGTTCTTGCCATTACAATACACTTATGTTTGCTTTGAAGAAAAATGCAGAATTACTGTGTTCACCATAGATGGCTGGTCTTTCAAAGGAAGGGCTCCAATTCCAAACCAGCAAGAGGTTTTGGATGAGCACTTCAGATGAAAGAGGCCCACTATTGATCTGAGGAGTACTGTCGATTCAGGGATAAATAGGACAGACTAGTGAGACCTGACACAGCAGAGAATGTCATAGAAATGTTGTTTGCCTTATAAACCTGAAAAAGTCCTATCTGCTCCACTTTTCATCTGACTTTTTTTTTTTAAAGGAATTCACCTTTAGTCTGAAATAGTCCCTTACTCTGTGTCTCTAGAAATATGAAAAATGGTTAGACTAACTTTAAAGGAGGTCACAGATTGCATGAGCAAAACAAATTGCAGATTTTTGGAAAAAATGGAAGAAAGCACTATGGAATATGCCTGGTGGTAAAAGGCTTATTTTCATAGTGCCACATACTTGCATTTTGCTCTTAACTGGAGTTATTCTTCCTTGAGTTTTCACTGTTTTTATTTCTTGAAAAACCTTCTTGAACTATTTGTTCCATTATTCATTTTGGATCTTGTTTTTCTGGCAGCCATCACAGATGTTTTTCTGAAATTTTAGCTCTTATTTAATTCACTATAAAATTTGTGGTGGGATTAATTTCTCTCAGATGACCCTTTAATGCTCTGGCAATGCCTAATTCAACCTGCCATTCCATTAAAATCTTTTCAGAATTTACTGAAATGGTCTCAATTTTTATTTTTTATTGTAGGTTTCATATATACTGGAGAAGTTGTGCATCGAATGCTAACAGCTACTCAATATATTGCACCCTTAATGGCAAATTTTGACCCCAGTGTGTCAAGAAATTCAACAGTCAGATACTTTGATAATGGTATGTAGCAGTCCTTTTCTGTATCCCTTGGCTCCACTTATTTTCCTAAATAACTATTTCAGAAGAAAGCATTGAGGATTTTTAATTTTTTTTCTTTTTGTTTTTAATTTAGAGGCTGTATAAAGCATGTGACTTGACATCTATAAGTAAATATTAATTTAGAACACAGTAAAGAATTAATAATGCCTTTTCTTAGTTGAGCAGATATCATCTGGGTGTTGCAGTACATAAACTCAAGCTAGCAATGCATTTTAACAGTTTTAGAAGGGAAAATCTGTCTTATATAAGAGTGTAAATTCAAAGTGTTACTTCAAAGTATTTATAGTGAATACCATCTGTCCACTACCTAAAATGAAAATAGCGTTTGTGAAGTGCAATAGCAAGTGTACACAGAAGCAGGGCAGGGATAAGGTTAATAAACCTGTCAATGACTAAGTGTTCATGGAGTACCAGAATTGGAATCCAATACACTCATCTACACCACGAGCTCTCAACAGTTCCTTGTAAAAAAGATTGAAAGAGGAAAAGGCAAGGTGCTGTGTTGCACTTGAAACTCTGTGAGAAGTTTCAAAGCCCTTGAATGTGTGGATATTTTTCTCTTGAAGTCAGTTGTAATCAATATTTCAGAAACATACCCAATGTGGTTAAAAGCACCTGGTGCTTTACCTCAGGCCTTTAGTGATCAGCCACAGTGACAGTTAAAACTTATAGAGTTTAGTATTGGGAATAAATATCTGGCATCCATGACTTCTAAATTGTTCTGGGTACATCAGTGCTATTTTATGTATGCTAATTTATAGTGAATTTTTTAAAAATTGCCAGCAGGTTCAAAAATATTTCATATTTCCAATAATATTTTAATTAATTAGATCAGTTAACAAAATGTATTCTGTATCTTTTACATCTAGTCATAACCTTTCCTTACGATCTAGTCATTGCAATGTTTGTTAAAAATCCAATAGAATGTTTTCATGAGAAAATCCTACTCCTTCCATGAAGAATTTTGAAACTGAAAAAGATGTAATTTTCACGTTTTAAATTATTTAACATTTTGGCCAGAGATTTTTCATCTTTACTTAAAGAATCTGAGGATTCTGGAGAAATGTTGCTAATGCTCATTATAGTCCTGACTTCCAGTCTTCACACCAGGGGTACCAGGCTGTATCACATGGCTTTCATTAAAAGGTTGAACAGTTCCTTGAGAATTTGGATTCTTCTTTATGTGCAATGCATCTTCTTTTGAGCTGCATGGGCTTTAGGACAAAGAATTTTCTATCTTAACATAAGTAAAAAGGAACTGAGCAGATTGTATCTTCAGCACCTTATTTCTTACTCATCTGTTCTTTGTCCCCATGAGTAAGTGCTCTGCCACAAAGCAGCATCTGTAGTGGAAAAGCACAGAGTGTGAGGATCCATCAAAGTCTCACTGGTGGAGCTAGCTCCAAGGAACTCAGGTACACACAAATCTACATAAAAGCCTCTGGAATGAAAGGACAGTTTGAGTGGCAGATGATTTCCATTTTAGCTTGGGGCTCTGAGGTACACATAGATCTGAAGTGCTCAGTGACTGACTAGAAGAAATTCTGGCTAATTGTGCTCTAACAATATTACAAGTTATAACTTTACATTTAAAAGAAATGTAATAACTTTACATTTAAATTAAAATTTAATTCAATAGAATAAATATTCAAAAAGTAGTTAATGAATGTGGTCACAAAGGAAAAAATGCACTGTGTGCACAATTAATGAGTATCTACTATGCAGCAAAACACAAGGGACAATAATGTGTTGGACTTGGTGCAGTGTGGACCCAAAATTTGCATGCTTATAGTTTCATGACAAACCCATCTAGATGTGTTCATGACAGCTGCAGCACAATCTGTAACAAAAGATTTTTCAAGGACATATCAAAAATATATTGAGCTGAATATGTACTGACCCATCATGAGCATTCTAGGAAGAAAGGAAATTAAAGTCTGAATGAAATCACATAACTGCCATTACTGCCAAAAGAAGAAGTTTTTTAGGAAGGCATGTAAAGATGAAAACGTTATTTTTGGTAACTCAGTTTTGGTGATAAGTGTCTCAACATCTGTAAAATATGCTCACAGGGTATGCAAGTTGCTTGAGAAATATTTTTAGTGTGGTAAGTGCTTCTTCAGCCAGTGAACTCCTGTGAATATTAACAAGGCTCTTGCAACTGAGTCTCTGCATACCAGACTCAATATTTACCCCGTCTATGACTTCTCAGTGAGTTTGGTTTAAACTACATTTATTTATTGCCAACACCTAACATTTCTCAATTTACAGAACCTCAGCAAGGGCTTGCACCATGCAGGAAAAAAAATATATTATTTAATTAATGCATAGTTAATGGAAGAATCTGAATTCTTGAAATAATAACTTTCACTAAGCAGGGAATGCTATTAGCACTTCACATTTCAAAGTCATCAGGGTTTATGTAGAGAGTGTAAAGAATGCTACTGCAGAGAAGTGGTAATGGCAGCACGCCTGGACCTCTGGATCCTACCTTTAGTTGATTTCTTGTGCAATTTCAAACAGATTGACCAAAACACTTGACCACTCTTGCTTTAGCAGTAGCTGAGTTGCTTGTGTGGCACTGTGTTGTCTACATTTCAGAGAATTTCAGTTTTAACTTGTGTTTATCTTATCTTTGGCATTTCAAGGTGTGGAGTTGAAAGTTGCTAGAGAAAGAGAAATCACTGTTCTCGTTTCAAGTAACTGCAGTGAAGTACTTTTCCTACAGTCAGTTAATATATTTCTCACATATTTTTTCTTCCTTTTGCCTCTCTATCCCCACTCTGGGGTTCACAGGCACAGCACTAGTTGTCCAGTGGGACCATGTACATCTGCAGGATAATTACAACCTGGGGAGTTTCACTTTTCAGGCCACCCTTCTCAATGATGGTCGTATCATTTTCGGCTACAAAGAAGTAAGTTTGGTCTGAGAATTGTCATTTAAGTGGACAAATTACTTTATGCATGTCAGGAATTTCCCTACATTTTCATGGGGAGTGAAAATTTTTGAAAGATCAGTTATATAAGATAATTTCATTATACTGCTTGTAAGATCACTATTTTGATGAAAATGATGTATCATTATTAAAGTGATGTTCATATAATTGACTTTAAAAATATCAACATGACACAAATGTACTAATCCTGGATTTCAGCTGGGCTTTTTTGGGTGTTTGTGAGTGTTAAATGCTCAGTAAATTCCTGGGCTTTTGGTAAATTCCCCATGGGTTTTGAAAGGTAGGATCTAATTTTTTCAATTAGTCTACTCTTTACCTGTTTCAAAATACTCTAGAATCAATGGTTGTTGTTAAAATCTCACCTGTTTCCTGCATCTGTAGCTTTTTGGCAACTCACTTATTTCAAAGTTCATATATTTGAAACAAGAAATAACTGGTTTGTATTGCTAGCTCTGAGGTTTTCCATCTGTTTGGTGATAAAATTGCTTAGATTGAGGCCATTTGGTTTGCCTTCATAGCACCAATATGTTGTCTTAAATAGGCTCCTGTGCATTCTACAAGTGTTTCAGAATTCCATTTGTTGCTTTGAGTGATTTTTTTTTTCTAGAGTTGCTAGAGCTCTGGAAACTATAGCCTGTTTGAATTTCAGTGTTTTTGCCAAGAAAGGTTGGAGCAGGTGATCCTTGAGTTCCCCTTTCAGTCTGGTATTCTATGATTCTCTGATTTATGCAAATTAGAATGAGAAAGTAGACAAGCTTAAATCTCTAGTGACGACACGATGTCTTTTTTGTTTGTATTTTGGTTTTGCTCCGTTTGGCTTTTTATTTGTTTTTTGTTTTTTGGGGTTTTTTTTGGGGGGGTGTTTTTGTTTGGGTTTTTTTTTTTGTTTTGTTTTGTTGTTTGTTTGGTTTGGTTTGGTTTGGATTGGATTTTTGTTGTTTTAATCTGTTTGGCATGCACACTGTGACTTTCTCTTCAAAATGCAACTCCATTATTCTCCTTATAGTAAGAAACTCTAATGAGTGATACAACCAATTGTCCAGACTTGGATAAATCTCTTTTCTCTTCTCTCTCTGCTGTAAAACACTTGTAAACCTTCAGGCTCATTTTCGTGCCTGTGTTCTAGCTGTGCACCTTTAATGAAGCAGAAATAATAACATTCCTCTGCCATTCACTAGCAAGCTAGACAGGATCTGGGTTTTTCTGCTAGCAGCAGTCATACCTTCACTTAAGACAGATGCCTTTGCAGCTTGGTAAAGGATTGCTGCAAGATGTTCTTACTGGATCAGTATTGTAGAATCAAGAAACTTCTGGTATGCCCATGTACATGGCTTTCCTTTTCTTATAAAAGACATGCTGATGCAAGGTTTTTTCTGAATGTTAGGTGCAGGTTACAGTCTTCATCTATGAAAATGCAGTTTATTTGCATTTTGAATCCAACTTCTTGTAAGCTTTACTCTGCTTAGGACAATGGAGCTCAATTGTACTTGATCAAAAGAGTGTGAACTAAAAGCTTTGATTATTAAAGTTGTTGAAAACTTTTTAAAGAAAATCAAAAACTCCTAAAGACTGCACAAAATTCCCCCCCTTCAAGACCTAGAGAGGTGGAAATGGATACTAGTTATAAGATAAATTTGTCAAGAACTATATATGCATTCTGACATTAAAATGGTGACATTTTCTGGAGACTTCTATTCCTGGTTATGAGATGCACTGCACTCCCTGTTACTATCTAGCCCTGTGCAAATTTGATCCAATATGGGTTATAGAGGTTACTGCTCTAAATTGAAAGTATCTGGCATACATTTTGCACAAAAGAAAATGATGATACAGAGTGTCAGGTAGTTGAAAACATTATTCATTTAGGAAAAGAGGAGTAAATGGGCCACTCCTTTACCACAGTGGTTCCTAGAATTGCAGGGAAGTATGATATCTAATCCATGGATAAGCAATTTCTGAGCTACAGTGCACAGGCTGCTTGCTCTCATTACACTACTGGAATCTTCCCCCAAAACCACATTGCTTTTGTGGGTAGGAGTTATTAATGTTCTGTTCATTAATCTTGAGACAGAAAACTGGAATTTGCAAATGGAATACTGTGCTTTTTGCTACTGGTGAATCTTTGCACTCATTCCTTCTCATGAGTTATTCCCGTCCTGAATGGAATTTCCAAACATTACTTTAAAGCTATTGCACACACTAAGGAAAGAGATTTTTTTAAAGTGGTAATAGTAATGTATTAATGATCTGTAAATCTTTTGACAAAATATTTTTCTAAATATTTTAGAAAGTTACAACTAGTATATTCCATCAGAATTACTTGGGGAATGGGTTTTGAGACTGAGATTTCTAGACAACTGCATTCATTATTTGCAGCCTTTACTCCATTACCACTCTCTTAGCTTTTCACCTAAATGAGCAATATTAAATAAGATTGCCAATCACTGATCAGACACAATTTGCCTGAAAAGAACAAACATGTCATTTATCATTTTGAACTTGGTCCTAGTGCTTATAAGCCTTGCTAGGGATTTATTTACTTTCCAGTGCTGAATCCATTCCTTTCTGAGGAAGACCTTCCATCTGGAGCCATTTCTCTTACTGCTGAGTTATTGCCCCATTAACTCCAGTAAGATTACTTGTGTAAGTGCTCACTAGCATGACTAAAAGTTGCACAAGATTTCTACTGTCTTTTTGGTACCATTTTATTTTAGCATCATAGTTCATCAAAAATTACAGTGATGTATTGTCATGGCAATCATCTGAGAGATCTTCATGGCATTGTCATTGAAAGTCCCCAAGCTGGAGTGCCATGGAAGAAATACAGCAAACAGGTTTCCAGTAGCTTCATCAAGCATCCCACAGGGGCTCTGTATTGGTGACACCAGGCATTTATCTAGAAGAGTCTACCTTTAAAATAACTGTGATTATACATTTAGAGCAGATAAAACTGGGGGTTTTTATGTCTAATGCACTTTAGGTAAATTTTACCTTTTATTTCTTATTTATTCAAACAGTTTGAGAGTCCCTTTTTTCACTTTCTTCCTGCTCTCAAATTAGGTTTGCTGTCTCACAAACCTGGTGTTCACCACCAAGATGGGATCCCAGTGGAAGTTTGCTGAATACCAAAGGAGTTGCTCTGCCCAATCTTCTGCATTCTGTTGTTTTCCCCAGTAGAAAGCAACCTGAAATTTGCAATTTTTGTCCAAAAATTTTTTTTTTAAATTAGAAAAGGAGCAGAACCATCAGAAAATACAAATATGGAGACATCAGAATATCTTTCAGAAGAGTTAATTGTTAGGAGGAGGAGCTGTATGGTCAAGTATTCAAAATGTAAAAACAATTTGAAATATAAAAAGGTCCTATGGCAAGTAAAATATTTATTTCTTTAGCAATTTACTTCTTTTACAGTGCATGCACCTTCCATTTTAAATGTCACTTTGCTTACACCAAGACTATTCTAGCAAATGGTCGATATGTCATGAAACCTCAGCTGGCATGAAAATTTTACTGGCGTACCTCTACTACATATGAAATACATTACAGTGCAAACAAGCCAGCAGAACAGAGGAATAAAGAAAAATTTTGGCAAAGGCATACTTTTTATGTATTAGTAGTGAATACTCATTTCTTATGTTCTAAATTTCACTGAAGTTTAATTCTCAAAAGTTTCACTTCTTATTAAACAAAATAACTATTCTATATAGTCTTTCCCCGTTAGTGCTTAGAGCTAATGTTCCTTAGTGCAATATTTGATTTCTTTTTTTATCTATGATTAATGCAGAACAAATTAGGCAGTGGTTTCATAGGTCTTGTTAATTGTTTAGGATATTTTTCTTAATATCACTGGAGAAGGCTTTCTTTGTTCATTTAAATCATAATGACTCTCTACTTATGTAGTCATCCAGAAACCATTATTAAAGTTAAAATATTTGGTCAAAATTGCCCAATACATGAGTTTGGAAAATAATTCTAAAAGGGGCTTGTAGCAGAATGAATTTCTATTCTAAGAAGTAGACAGAATTAAATTAAAATTATTAAGTGCTAGCACTTAAATAAAATTCATGCCCCTGCCAGGCATGAAAGAAAATACTGTGATTTCAGTAACGAGAATTCAAACCTTGTTATTGTTTCCTGAAAACTAAAAAAAATTTTAAAATATGCCAAAAATACCCCAAATAAACCATAACAAAAAAAAAAAAAATCCACAAAACCACAAAAAAAAAAGAAATTAAAAAAATCCTATAATCCCAAAATGCTATCTTTACCTCTTTTATTGTTATCAAAAACATGGACATGGAAATGATTTTTGAGATGGTCAATTTACACAAATTAAAACTCCTGATTTTTCATGCAGTTTAGCCTGTGGGCTAATTAATTACTACTTAGGAAACTGGCAATTAAAACCCCATATAAACACTATTATTGTGTTTCTAATTATTATTTTGCAACATACTTTGGTTCTTATCTTTGACTCAGTTTTGAAGTGGGGCAGCAGTTGCAACCTGCTTACCGCCTCCTTCAGAGTAAGTTTAGAGGCTGTGATTTTATCCTTTTTTGAAGAATAAGATTCTGATATGACCTCACAGTTGAAAATAATAAAATTTGAGGAGTCTCATGATAAATACTGTCGAGATTACAGATCCCAATGATACATGGAATTCAGCATAAATTCTAAATTACTGTTGAAGTATGTAATCCAAAATATAGATATTATTGGCCTCAGTGCTAGTGTGGGAAGTTTATTCATAAATTGGTGATTTGTACAACACAAAATATCACCTTTTCTGTGGTAGAGCTAACAGATGGTTTAGAATTATTCTAGCTAAAATCCATTCTAAGAAGGTAATGCTGTAAAATCCTTGCCAACCATTAGCAATCACTTGCAGGTTCCTAGTTCTCTGCATAACCATTTAACATGTCAGCCTGTTAGGACTTATCTTGCCATTCAGGTGAGAAATCCAGAACAGCAGCTCTCTGCTTGCTATCTATGTTCTGCTGTAATATTCCATAATTTGTTTTAATATGTACTACAAGCTTTCTATCAAAAGGGAATGTTTCCTAATCAAATAGCATTTGGTAAAACTCATTTTTTCTTGACATCTCATGCAAAATATTTCACCTGTAATATAGCACTCAGTACACACATTACCAGTTTCTTTTCCCACACCTTAAAAATTAATATATGTTTTTGTAAATACAGATAGAATGACACTGTAGTTTTACATGAGAATAAGAGTGTTCCTGGGTTGTGGGTTGCCTTCTACTTTGTCTGCATTTCTGCCTGTGTGATTGTTTCACACAGGCTGCCCTTCAGTTTGAAGAGCTGGCTATACTAATTTAATTTTTCTTTTTTGATCTTACAGAAGTTCTTGATTCTAAGACTCGTTTCTAAAACATGTATCCAAACTGTTGGCTGCTGCTTCTGTTAGACTGACCCTACTACTGTCTTATTTGTTTTAGAAAAGATTCTGAAAGTTCCTTGCTCTCGGTAGAATGCCCAGCACTGGAGTATTGACACCTGCAGGGCTTTTGGCAAAATACATTGTTACTTCTGCTTCAAGTTTTTCTAATTTCTCTTGAAGTTTTTCTATATATTTGCTGTTCAACATAGCTACTACATCCTGTTTTAGTACCACATATCACTGAGTCATTCATAATTTTATTTACTTTCAAGGTCTGAACCAGGGTGTAATGAAAATAAATTTATTTAAAAATATAAAATAAATAAAATGAATAAAATGAAATAAACTAAACTAAAATAAAATACCCAAATCTCTCACCTGTGGCATTAGTAGTGCAAGAACTCATCACGCCTTCCCAGAAAAAAACCAAAACCAAACCAAACAAAAAATGAAATAACCTGCTTTTTTCATAATTTTTGATGGAAAGATGCAAATTTTTCAGTAATCCAAAAATTCACAAAAAAAAAAAAAAGTGAAAAGGCACTAGACTAAAAAGAAAAAAAAAGAGTCTTATTTGAGAAGGCCAGAGTGCAACTTCTCCTGATTTACATTCACAGGATGCAAATTAGTATAATCCTTTTCATGCATCTGACACAATTTATGCATTAAAATGACAATTTTGCCAGCATCTTTTGTCACAAGTCTACTAATTCCAATTCCAAATACACGCTGTGTCCTTTCTTCTACTGCTGTTTCCTCCCTAACTTTGAAGAGAAAGTCATTGCATCCTCCTCATCAGTGCTTTTTCTAACTTAACTTTCAATAGGTTGTCTAGAATATCCTCCTCAAAATCCTTTAAGACAGTTTCTTTGATAGTTAATGTAAGCTTTTCTTGCCAGTCTTCTGAGACTAGGAATAATGCCCTTATTTTGTTTAAGCTTTCATGCTGCAGAAAATTTATAGACTTAGTTCTGAACTTAGTGAGTCTTTTATTTTGAAGAATTTGAAAATATGGCTTTTGGCCTTCTTTTCTGTCATATTATCCAATAATTGCATCTGAGCTCAGCTGATATAAGCCAAAATTAAGCTGATGTATTTCTAGCAGTATTTGCAAGCCAGTTTTCTTTTTCCTGTTGTTTTGACAACATGCCACAAGCCTTTTTTATACCACACTAGACCATGTGTGCAAGAACCCCAAAAAAGCAGTCACTAAATTAAGTAAAAGGAACGGAAATTTATGACAATGTTTAATTCACTAGAACTTACTTACCAGTGTAATTGGGAAAAAGCAAAACTAAAAGGTATTTTAGGAGCAAGGAGAACTACTGATGCTCAACTCAAAAGCCAGAAATCATGCTATTAATTGTCACATAGACAGAACTGACCCCTCAGTCACTGGATGAATAACCAGCTTTTTAATACAGCATTTTTCTGCTAGGTGAAAAATGTTGGTCAACTATATAATTTTTTACACAAGTAAAGCCAGAGCAAGCTATTGGGTTAGCTAAACTAATACCTGGTGTCTCAATTTCTTACACTTGATCCAGTTCCATCTGTCTTCAGCCTAGAAATTTCTGGTTAACTGAAGGGCAGCTTTGAAAAGTAAGATATAAGATATCTGAAAACAGCAACTGGCAGAAAGTCATAATTGCTCAGAGAGAGCTGTGGCTTATTCTACTCCTAAGGTACCTGCCTGAAGTTTCCAGCTGCTGGTTATATCCTTCTGTGCTAGAATAAAAGACTCTTTAGTCCCTGAGTAATTTCTGCCTTTCGTGGTACTTGTTTGTGGTGATCTAACCAGTTTTTCAGTATTTCATCCAGAAGTCAAATGCATAGAACTTTTATAACACTTCTGTTAATGGCATTTGAGAACTGGAGAAGTTTACAAAATATTTTTATGGCACTTTTAATCTTCCTTCTTTTAATTTTTGGCATCTTTTTAAGAAATATATCCTTTCAAAGTCTGTGTGATATATCAGCAATGATCTAATTTTTAGGTGCAAGTAAAATGGTCACCCCACATCTCAGCTATATTTCACTGTTTGTGTAACCAAACATCATATCAATTAGGTTTTCTTGCTGAGAATGTCCCCTCTGACAGCTGGAGTTGTTCATCCACTACGATACTGAGATTCCTTCTAGGACAGCTGCTTCCTACACCATGGTCCCCAAACTCTACCTTGCACTCTTTTTTGTCTGTACTATATCTTTGCATTTTTTGCAATGTCTAGCTTTGCTAATTGATCCAGGCATTTCATTACTTTTACTCTGCTAGTGCCATCTGGAGAACTGCTAGGCAGTAAATTTATGTTTCCTTCTCAGTCTTGGATAGAACTTTTGAATGCTGTTAAGGCACGCTGTCAGTCTGAGGTGCTCCTTTACTTATGGCTGCTTTTTTGTGACCAATCTTTCTAACTATATTAATATTGAAGAAATACTACATGTCATTAAATCAAACAATTCAAAAAATTTCAGTCCTATTATGTCTATATAGAAGTATCAGCCAAAGCTGCAATCTTGTCCCAAGAATAGAATCCAACCTGACATTTGTTTTCATGCAACCATGTTACCCATTTGTTTTCATGCAACCATGTAACCATTATCATTCTGTCAGAACTCTTTGCAGATAAATATTCACAGTTTTCAGTGCAAGTTAACTGAGCCATAAGTTTTAAAATTCTCATCCCAAGCTGAACTTTCACAGTTTTTGCGTTCAACAGTAGACAGGAGGTATTGCCTCCTCATCCTTGAGTGTGCTGGCACATCATCCCACTTTTTCTTCAGCTGAGGGAAATAAATTACTGGAAGTTACTACCCTTTTCTGCTTTGTCACTGACAATTGTTCTACCTCTAAAAGTTCATATAAAAACAGTGCAAAGAAAACTGAGATAAAATACAAATTAAAACCAGTGATTTCTATCTTCAAATAATTTTTTGGCTTTCTTGTTCTATGTTGTATAAAATATTTATTTAGGACTTTTATGTTACACTGGCACATTTTGGCAGTGCTTTTTTTTTTAATCTTTTTTTCTAGTTCAATATTTCAATAATATCTTCCTGTTTTGTCTTTTAGATTCCTGTCGCTGTGACACAGATAAGTTCAACCAACCACCCAGTGAAAGTGGGACTTTCAGATGCATTTGTGGTTGTGCACAGGATCCAGCAAATTCCCAGTATGTAGAATTGTAGTGGTGCTAATGGTTTGGAGGCTGAGAAATTGTTATAATCTGATTCCATCAAGGATGATTAGCTGCACAACAAATCACTTAGCTAATTTCAGCTTGTTAATTCAAGTGTAATTTTATTTACTTGATAATTCCCAATATGGCTTTTCCTGTCATTGTTTCTTTTGAGCTGATAAATTAAGTAAATAAAATTAAATGGTCAGTCAAATGATGTCAAATTAAACTCTCAACTGGCTCAATTTGGTTTTCCATAAGATACTTTATCTGGAACATGCTTTCATATCCATAGTAAAGAAAAAGCAATCTGTTCAGAAAAAAAAATCTGTATCCAAAAATATCCAGGCTGGAAGCTCTTGATACTTTATTCTGTATTTCAAATTCACATACACGTTTTAGTGAGAGGAAAAAAGAGGGCATGTAGTTATTCAATAACATCTTTAGCTCACATAGTCATGGCAGCACTATTGCAGGTGGCATTTAGTGTTATCTGGCTTCAATTGTACTTTTCATGGCTTCACTGAAAACAAATAGTAGGAAATCAAGTGTGATGTTCTCAATGCTCTAATGTACTATGTACAAGACCCTTTGAGGTTGTTTAGCCATTAGAGAATATGCTCACTTTTCAAGTCTACTGGGTTTACTTATATATATAGATAAAAATTACTAAGATCAGTTTTCAATAAAGCCCTAATAGCAAGGTGCAAATGGAAGGAGCTGTGTTTGAACCAGGCTCCTAGGGCTGACTCCAGGCATATTGTCCTAAAGTGAGCTCTGCCAGACCTGTGGTGCTCACAAGGACTGACCTGATCCAGCCCAGCTCTAAGACAGAGAGCAGATGGGGCTGACACTGAAAAATCAAGTGCTATTGGCCTCTCAGCTCATCCTATCTCCTCGTCACATATAAAACAGTCTTTAACATGAGGGAGCACCAATCCTTTGTCTAACATGTCCTGTCTTGGGGAATATGGAATATTTCAGTACTATTTGTTACTTGTGAGCTCAGAGTAGTGTGAAGGATGTAGCATGCCAAGATTTCAGTTAAGAGACAAGAAATTTCTTTCTGAAGTATGATAGGTAGGTAGCTGTGATGTGCCTATGTTTGCATGGATTGGTTTTCAGTGTTTAAGAACAAATGAAACTAGGCAAGAAATTTCAGTAATGTGAGTTATATTTGCAAGTAAATCATCTAAATATTTCTGAATCTTCAGTTTCTAAGAGCTCCAAATATGGATTCAGGGGGAATTAGGTTGATTGACAATGCAATGATTTATGAGAATAGTCAAAGAGAAATTCTATCCAAGAGATGCAACAGGATGATATCTTTTGACATCAGGCCTCCATAATAAAAAAAAAACACTAAAGGACTTGTATTCCATTTACGTATTTTTTATGGAAAATATGTGGTAGATATGAGTCTTTATTCAAGTCTGAATTTTTCTTTTCGTAGAAATGTTTTAGACAAGCGCCTTGTTTTACTACCAGTAAATACTATTGGTTTGGATGAATGCAGAGTTACTTACTAGGCTTCTGGTTTTAGCATATCTATAACTTTTTTTTTTCACATGACACTTTCTGCTAACAGAGGTGAGACTATAATGTGGGTATGGAGTATAAAATGTGCTACTGCTGCAGTAGTTTTGAGAGCATTATTAATGTATTGCTGTTTACAATGCATTGCTCTTGCCCCTAACTACGAGTTCTGTGGATGGTGGTAATTCATGATTATTTTTGCTAGATTGCAGTTTACACTACAGCTAATATTAATCAAGGGATCCATCATTTCAGAGTAGATTTTCCTGAAGCTGAATTGTGTGCTCAATGAAATAGGTTTGTATTGATGTGTACAGGCAATATAATAACACCTTGACAGAGCTGGTAAATAATGTTGGCCCTTAGAAAGCCAGTATCAGATGCTCTTAAAATATTCATGTTCTTGAATTCTTGTTTTTCAGAGGTATTAAATCAACTATGGTTCTAGTCAATTATGAAAAAGTGATATGATAGAATTGTTATTTTACTTTATTTGTTGGCTTCTTAAGAAAATGGAAGAATATAAATTGTTGTTTGTCCCAAGAGAAGGCAAAGAAGTATAACTACTAGTTCTAGCTTGCCACTTTATCAAAGATTTTTTCATCAAAAGAACTCAGTCTCCCTTTGTGTTCATGGCTAGTTATTAAATAAAGAAAAAAAGCCAAAAACAACACCCTCAAATAATACAAACATCGCCCCAAACTCTACTGCTTCATGTTTGAGGTCTGCCAATTCTTTTTGTATATATTGTGCATTTGAAAAAGAAAGAGACACTAAGAGCAACACAAGCCTGTTTGAACAAATACCCTCAATTTTTAAAAATGCTGAACATCTTTGGTGCCTTTTGTATGCTCAGTATTCTAAAATTTCAATATAACAGACCTAGTTTATTAAATTAATTTCAGAAGATTTAAAGCTGACTATTTATCAGATTTTTTCAGATGTACTGTCCAAAAGATTGGTAATAACTTTTTTAATACTTCTGAAAGGTGAGTTCAAAAGCCAGGCAAACCTATTTCATTCTGGGAAGAATAAAACATGCTTTTTGATCAGCCATTTCATTTCAAAAGTGCATTTTAATGAGTGCTGAAAAGTATCCTCTTGAAGAGCCAAGAGCTGAAAAGAATGATTTTCTGAACTTTTTTAAAAGGAGGAACTTGAGAATATCATATTTTTATTAATATACTTCTTCATATAAAGACTTTGCCGTAATACCCTTTTTATCTTCCCTAAAAGCACACAGGCACATACACTTGTTCACCTTATCTTTTAAGAGTTAGAGCATGGAGATGGCAGGTGGCTTTATGCCTGGTTTTTTGGGGTTTTTTTAATAAATATTTCCTTGATCTGCTGCTACTTCTTGCTCATAGACCATGTCTTTATTTTGCACTTATATTATTGCAGATTATCTACTATTTTATATTTTATATCTGGATATAGATAAGCCTGTATATACTCTAGAAGTGTATTGGAATGATTGGTAATATATTAAGGGACACCAAGGTTAACCTGATAATTCTGAGATTTATATGGCAGCAAAATGGCAAACTAGGTCCTTTGATTAATTTCAGAGGAAAAGTTTCAGCTCTTTCCAAGTAATTCAAATGATGTTCCAGGCTCTGGAACATCAAGTGATGTTCCAGAGCCTGGAACATTATTTGAATTCTGATGTGTGAATTCGAATGATCATCCTCATTTCTTCTTCTTCAGACAGGTTGAACATTTGCACGCTATTTTTCCTTTTGTACCAAATGCAGTGAGAAAGTTTCATTGATGTTTTCCAGATAGAAACAGTCAGTGATGACAAAGCTGGGAGCTTTACATATTCCTTCAGCAAGTCTTTTTTAAACACCTTCACTGCTGCAGGATCTTTGTTCCTTGTCCACCTTCTCCAGCCAGATCCCTTTCATTTCTTGTTTATCTCTCAGCCATCCTTGTTATTCTGTTCTTGGTCCTTCTTTCACTTGCCAGTGGTGTCCTTTGCTCTCCCTTCTGCAGACTCCCAAGATCTCTCTTTAACCTCATGACCATCTCTCTTTCCCTCTGTTTTTCCTCTCATTCAGGGTTACTCTCCTTTGTTTCAGTGCTCTTCCCTATTGTCTTCAATTAGCTTTTTGTTGTGCAAGAAGAAGAAATGAAAAATCATTTCCTGCAACCCACTTTTGTATTTTAGCAATGAAAACCCCACCAGAGAGCCTTCTCATATTGTGTTTGTCTTCCGCAAAACCATGAAATACACTGGGAAATGAGAGAGTGCCAGATTCAGGGGATCTACACAAGTGAATTACAGTCTTGCACTACGAGAAAATGGGTAGTAGGTCTGTCTCCACAACGAGACAAACTTCTCTGTGATTTTGGCATCTACTGTATTAGATGCAGCTCTTTTAGGAAATCCATGCCTTGACAACTGCACATGTAATCACACTGAAATTATTCAACAACACTATCTACAGAAATTAAATTGTAGCTGAGATATGTGTTAGTAATATTCCAGTTTCAGTGCAATTAGTGTCACTCAATATGTAGTGTAACTCAAGCATTTAATTGAGTGACAACTCAACATGTTGTAAATGTTTGCTCAAGATGTCTCACCACTTTGCTTACAGCAGTGAAGCCCCTGAAAGAACCTTAGGATTACCTTCCTGAAGGCTGAAGGACCACTGGCCATTTATGCTCTTATATCTATTATATAAAGGTGCAACACCACTTGGGAAATCAAGTCTGATTTCCTGCTGCCTTACTGGCAGTGTTATCATTTACCTCTGTGCAAAATGGGCTCCAAAGTTATCACTCTAAGATCATAGTATTTATTCTTCTTTACACTAGTGTAAGTGTAAAGTATTTATTCTTCTTTACATTAGTGTAACTAATCCCACAGAACCAGCTGCTCCAGCCCTTCGTGTTTGTCTACTGGTCCATAAAGGTTTATCTAGGCAGCTGGGATCTTTGCACTAGATGTCTGATTCAGGACCATGCTGTTGATCTTTGGTAGTCTGACAATACTGCCAGGACTGGTACAAGTTGGTCAAAGTTTAAAATATTCTCATAACTGGGTGCAGACAGGTCTCAGAGTGAGGCAGTTTGGTGTGTGGTGGGATTAGGGGATAAAGCAAGTTTTTCATACCTAGATCCTGTACTAGGAGCTCTTTATCTGGTGGCAGGTCTTGGGGTAAATCTGGAAGAACATGGAGAGTTTCAAAGTAAATCATGTGTGGTAGGCACAGAGCATTGCAACAGAATGGCTCTTAGCACATTGTTCATAAAGATATTTTCAGAGCTTACTCACTGGTTTGCTTGTTCACAGATTAGGCATCCTTGAGGTGCAGCTCCCAGGTTTAATAGGATTTTTTAAACAATTTTTAGGAGAATGATAAAATTAATACAATTAGGGAATCTGAATTTTTATCTAGACTTAGATGTGTGTTATATTCAGAGGAACTTTTGTGGTGGTGTTTGGATTACAGGCATTGGTGTTTAGTCCCAGTGTCAGTGCCTTAAGAATTAGTTAATATCGATAAATTTAGCAATATAAAGCTGTTAAAGAACAGACATTCTGATTCCATTACCTTTTGTGGTGACAGCAATCAGATATACCAGGTTGACAGGTTTTATTCAGCCAGGGATGTTCAACAACATCGCTGTCAAGCAAAGTCAGTGGCTGTGTAACACAGCAGCTGTGCCACTCCCTTCTCCATGACTTATATTTTCCACAAATTGCTTGCAGCTTGTTGGATATGTTTCATAAATTGTTTGCTTCAAAATGACTTCTGCATAATCAAATGAACCCTCTTACCATTTGTATTTTCTCTATCAGCAAGACTTAAAACTGAAAGTACAGCTGTATGAATACATATGGCCTTGTTTAGCAGTTATTTCTGGGTATATGGCCAATCCAAATTCCCTAGAAATCTGGAAAAGGTCTTTATTTGTGTGAACATATAATTTAAAAACTCAAAACAACTTCTCCAGTATTTTCATATTTCACTGTATTGCAGGTTTTAGCTGAGGAATGGTGTATGAGGAAGTGTAGTGTTATGTAATGGAAGAGATACAGATTATGCATCTGTCAGCCACATATTTAGAATAGTTTGTTATGAACTACTGACCCTTCAGACATGTTAAGAAATCATTGGTGCTCTCCTGGCACTGCTCCCTCTCCAGAGTACTCTCCCTGTCGAGCACCTTTAGTCAACTCTTGCAGTTCTGTTTCAAATACTTATTTATAGCATTACTTAGTTTAATACTACTGTGATAAAACTACCTAGAATTATTTTGTCACAGCAGAATCTTGCACATCCATAATTTACCAATCCATTGCTTAATCCCTTGAAAGAATTCTTTCAAATGGCCTTCTGACCCCCATGTTATCTCTCTCAGTCAATGAGGAATGTGTTCTTACCTCACGTAGCTGGTGTTTTCTTCAGGTTTTTCTGCTGGGACTGTACCTTTCGCCTGTGTTCAAAGATAGCACAAGTACATGCCATGAAAACAAACCAAAAAACAATCTGAACCATACTATGAATTAAACCAAGTATAGTCAGTTATTAAAGAATATATTAAACTTTATAGCATTTAGAATTATATAGCATTATAGCATTTAAAAGTGTGTTTGAGGAACCCAGACTTGTAGAAATGTAAAATATTCGCATGACTAGGAGAAGAATATACACATATTCTCTGTAATTCAGAACCTGGAATGGTACTTCAAAAGCATACAAAATTCCTTTTCCTTTCTTTCTTTCCCTGCTAGACCTGATGCAGCATTTCTTTATAGCAAAATACCTGCACATGATTCTTAAATATTGTTCTGTTACTGCATCAAATCATTTCACTAGTTCTTGTCATGTTAAGGTCTGTACTGAGGTATACATGAGCTCATAATCTCTTTGTGATTCTGCACTGGTGCTTTTTTGTTAAAGAGCTAAATAGACAATATAAGACAAAGAACAAATTCCAGCTGAGGGAAATGCAATGTCTGTTCTGGGTTGAAGCAGGAATGTGTGAAGAGGTTAGGGGGAAAGTGTGAGGGAAGAGTATTCATTTTCCTGTTTATCCTGTTGGGTTTAAGGATTTTAACCAATTTTTTTTAAGGGAAACCAGCTCACAATACAAAATAAGGAGAGAAAAGTGTATTTTGAAGATCTAAGCATGGCATATTTAAGTCATACTTTCAATAGAATCTAGGCCTGTGTGCTTTTCTAGCCTGGTCAGGCAGATAAATTTGAATGTTCACGTTTCCAACCACCTGTCTGCAAGAATATACAAAGATGTTAGAAGGTGACTATGCAAATACCTCTCTGTGCTTAAGTTTCTTACATTAGATAGATGCCTCATATGCAAACTCACCACCTGTGGTTGACACAGTCATCTTTCTGAAGAAAAAGATCAAATTTGAGTCTGTCAGGCAGTGGGATTTAATGGAATAAACAGTCATGCTGAAATATGCATGATTCGATTTTTTTTTCTTATATAACACACTTAATTCTCTTAAAATAGTGTTTTTCAGAAATTTCATGCACTGGGTGAGGTAAAAGTGTCTATACCCTGAATCTCTGATTCTTACTGAGTCTTTGGAAAGCCAGAAGCTCCTTATTTCTTGTAAGCCCTGTAAGGAACCTGTGAGGAAAGGTTGAGCATTAACAGGATTATAATATACTAGTCTGTACCAGTACTGATGAGGAGCAGTTCAAATAAAGTGTTGACACCCAGCATTTTAATTTATGTATTCACATTCACTTTTTACAGGAGCTCATTTCAAAGACATTTTACAATCAGTCTGATTGGGCTTTTAGGAGACTGACCATCCTGTGAGCATAAACCTCTTGCTACTGGCAAGAGATTTTCCCTATCCCAACATATAATTAGCTTGGTCTTGAAAGCTGTTTCTGTCCCGTGGATCTGAAGGACATGGCTAAGGCATTTATTGGGGTAAACTTTGGCACCTGCCCATATCCATCTTCTAACTAGTCAGAATGACTTTGTAGGTAGCACATAAAACTAGTTCAATAATAGGTTCATTTCATACTGAAAGAGAATTTTAATATCAGGAGGGGTGAAGTCATAGCAAAGCTTCAAACAAATTGCAAGGAGTGGTTGGCAGTGGTGCTGGTTTGGAGCTAAATAAAAATATTATTGTCTGAAAGTGACATACTGCGTACTTGTTCCTGAAAGCTAATGAGGTTAAGAGAGGGCAGAGAAGCTGCTTCCTCAAGCAACAAGGTGTGCCCTAATCCATACAGGACTGGCAGCATACAAGACCTCCAAACACTGAGTTTGTGACTGTCTACAAGTCCCTTTTCTTCTGTTACATGTAGACTAAGACTGGTCATTGGCTTGGGTAATCTCTTAGTCCTTTGTATGTAACCCTTAATTCCTCTCTGGAATGACTGCAGAGGGTCAGTGATTGAATTTAGCTCTGCTTTCAGTTAGTTTAGCAGACCTTCAAAAAGAACATAAATATGAAACCAGCACCCCAGAAAGCTGTCATTTTTGTGTCAGATCGGTGTTATAGGTTGTACTTTTGATTTTCAAACATACAAGCTCGCCAGTCTATATTTCAACTGTATCTATAAAATCTGGAATTTTCAGAACACATTATAGGATATTGTTCTGGGAAGTAGTGTGTGATTTTTTCATGTTTATCTTGTGCTTGGGTCTTACAGTTGCTTGTGAGTTCAAAGCCCTTCAGAACAGTACATTGACTGTATTGAATTTCTGCTTTGAGAAACAGGTGCAGTCAGCCTGTGTAAAGATTATGCACAACGGCTGTTTGGGAAGAATGTCTTCTCTAATATGTTATAATATGAAAATATACTCTAGTACCATTAGATGTGAGCCATCTTGTAGCTAACAAATTTGATTAAGCAATTAAATAAGTTTTGTTTGCACATTTTGGCAAGAACTGACAAAGTGAGCATATAAAGAATTTCCCTCAAATCTGTAAGCTGAGAAAAATGTCTTAGGAAAGCAAACATTTGAAATACACCCTAAAATGTCTGACAGTATACCCTCTAGAATTTCTGCCCAGATCAATGACTGAGATGCTTGAGAGCACACTCAACATTTTCATAATTCTTTTCCAGGAGAAGTATCTTTTCTGTCAGCTCTGAGGGTTTCTCCACTGAAAAATTCTCTATATTTATGTGTTATTTTGTGATATTCAGAGTTAAAAATATATTCTTGAGAAAAATAGTTGCCATATGTGCACCTAAGAAACAGTGTGCATTTATTATGTCCCCTATTTTTCACAATCTAAAGACTGAAAAATAAGAAAATTTTATTTTTTTTTTTCCTATTAGATGTCCGCAGAAGAACAATTTATGAGTACCACAGGGTGGAGCTACAGATGTCAAAGATTACCAATCTCTCAGCTGTTGAAATGATACCACTTCCAAGTAAGTAAAACATTACATAAGCAGGAGCCAGGTCTAGAAACCATCTATCTCCCTCTCTCTCCCAGCAACACATACACAATTTCAAATATTTTGTTTTATCTGTGGACTTAGAATCACAAACAGATTAATTTATCTTCTCCTAGATTCCCGAATGGATGATGCATTATCCAGTTCATCCTCGTGTATCTCAAGTTAGTTTATAGGTACATAGCTCCCAGTAGGTTTTGAATTAAATTTGTGCCAAATCATTTTTTCGTAAGAATGATTATATTGCCTTTAGATACATTTCCTCAAGAAAAAAGAAAAAAAAAACCAAAGAATAACATTCATGCTTGCAATGCAAACATGAATTCTTCTGTGTGCTGTGCATAACATCACAAAGGCATATCCCCAAACAAATGGCTCCAAATATTTTGCAGCTCATCTGGCTCTTTTTTCCAAGGTAAAACTACATTGCTTAGAAATCTTGGGATTTAAATGCCAGCTGTACTACTGTAAAAAGAGTATAAACATCTACTTTTCCTTTTTTTAAATCCAGTTATAGTTCTTGCACATTTTTCTGTCAGTCTTATTATCTGCTTATGTCTGAATGTTAGCAACACCAAAGAACAGCCAGGGAAGAAAGAGATTTAAGGAAACACTTACTATTGATCAAAAAGATTAAAAATTTAGGAATGAAGCTGAATGAACAGATGTGGAAGTAGGAATATATTTACAAGTGGAATACAAATGGAATACTACAGATGAAATGAACTTCTGTGTATGCAATTGTGCAAAGCATTGTAACAGGCTGGGTTCAGGGTCTTATTTTAGACATGGTTGAACCTGTTGGCTTCCTAAATATATATTATCAGAAGATACATTTTTATTTTGTGTTTTTTTATGTGAAACATATATGAGACTAATGTAATAATTTGTGTCTATCTACATCCCAGCTTGTCTCCAATTTACCAGCTGTGGTCCCTGTGTCACTGCCCAGATTGGTTTCAACTGCAGCTGGTGCAGTAAACTCCAAAGGTAGAGAAAATAATTTCTTTTCTTTTTTTGTGTGTGTGTGTGTGGGTATGGAGATGTGCTCAAGGGCTATCCAAAACCATTGCCTGCAGGTTATTCAGCATTAAAAGTTTTTTACATTTAGGTTTATAGATATGCATTAATATGAATATAAATCTCAAGCATCATCACTAGCAGCACATCAGTGTCACATTTCACTTCAACAATTAGGCAAGAATAGTCAAAACAGTTGACTCGGGAGTTAAGCCCTTGTTCTTATTTCTTCAGTCATAATTTAAGTAGACTTTAAGTCATACTTTTGAAGTAGAAAAAGAAGGAGACATCATAATAAAAATAATATTTTCTCCCTACATCATTGGCTTCATCAAAAATAATTTAACCCCATGGAGATGCAAGGTGTTAATGTAGCTGTAAAAACTTCCTTGCTAACAGCAGGGAGACCAACACATCCAAACAGTCAGAGTACTTTCCTTTTTAACCTGTCGTTACACTTAGTGGGTGCACTGGGTCTCCTCATCCTCTCAGTGACACATGGACCAAGACAGTCAAGTCCATGGCAGGAGTGATTTACATTGTGGAGCAGCTGAAGCACAGCCAGCAAAATGGAAGCTCTGCAACTGCAGCTTCTCAAAAAGTTTTTCACTCACTGATCTTCACTGACCATAATGATGAATTTCATGCCAGTTCTCTGAAACAAAATGCAGTATCATAATGGGCATTCATTGTTGCTGTGCTCTTTAGCTCTAGTGATTAAGTGTAGAAATACTTTGTATGAAACGGATGTATACTGAAACAAGAAAAGGTAATTAACTTTCTAAAATTGTGCAATGTTTTGACACCATGTTGTAGAACTGGTAAATTTTAGTGGAATTAGAGCTAAGACAAATCAAGTAATACAAAGCATACCAAATATATTGAAGAGTAATACTACCTCTAGAAAACTGTTCCAAGCAAGCATGAAGAGTTCTTGGTTGCCTTAGCTGATTCTTTGCTTTCAGCATTGCTTCATCCTCCTCCCATCAATAGATGCTGTAGCACTGAGTTCCTGTTGGCTTTGGTTTGAGCAGGGCCTGTTGCTTTGTGGCCAGTGTTCTCCATTCTGTTTGGATGAACTCACTTATATTGTAAAATACAGACTGCTTGTGAAGAACAGGTGCAGAAGCCTTCAGATCCTTTTGTTTCCCTCTAGTTTCCAAACACCTGAGCTTCCTGAGTTCTGAAATTGCTGAGAAATATGTTTTGCTCACTGAGGCACAAATTCACTGTGGAGAACTAAGTTTTATTCTTCAACTTTAGCAGCAGCAGAACCAGCCATGTAGCTACACTGTGTTTCCTTCTGCTCATTTAGGAGCATTTGTGGCTGTCCCCTCACAACTGGCAAGGTGTAATTTACTGCTGAAAAAAAACACAGTCTGAACACATCTACTTCTATTCAATTAAAGCTTGAATTAAGAAAACCTTCCTTTTTGTTTTTGCATGTGGAGATCAAAGATGAGCCTACTGTGAGGTAGTCCTACACTGTTTCCCAAAACCAGCTGTCTCCATTCTGCAGCATGGTTGTTATTTTGACAAGATGCAGCAGGTAGACTGAGTAGTTTTATTGCTATTAATTAGGCCATTACTGACAGTAGTGAGACTGTCACTTCATGCAGATTGTCTTTGGGCATTGTTCGACCACCAGCAAAAGCAGGAACTGGAGAGGATTTCTTAGAAAAAGGATGGATACTGAAAATGAAACTAAGAATATGCTCCTACATGGGAATTTCAGTAGTTTTTAAAAAGTCATACCATACAATTTTTATCTACAAAGATGAGCAATATTCATTCAGGTTTTAGAAAATGGAGAATTGTATGTAGAGTCATAAAGTAGCTCAGAATGGAAAAGGTCATCTAGACTAACCTCCCACTCAAAGCAAGGCCAGCTTTGAGATCAGACCAGTTTCTTTGTGACTTTGTTCATCTAGGACTTGACCACAGAGGCTGTGGTCCAGTCCCCAGAACACTTTATACAGGATTTTACACCTAGTATGTTAGCTTGCCTTTTTCTTCTGGAAACATGGCTTTGATGGATGTCTGCTTCAGTCCTCATTGTCTTTCTTGGCCACTCATCTCCAGTTTCTGAAATGAGTAATTTCAACTATTTCATCTCTATGGAGAAAGAGATCTGAAATAATAAATGGTTAAATATTTTGTGAAAATAAGCAATTTGCTTTCCAAAATGTGAAAACTGAATATTTATTTGGTTACACTGCAGGATTATTGGGATGAGGAATCATTCTCTCTCAGCTTTGAAATTTTTTTACCAGTTCTGCATACTCTCTATGGACTTCTAGTCTAGTGCCTCTCTTCCTTTACCTTGCACTTTCTCAGCATGTCTAATCATTTTCAAGAGATAAAAATTAAAAAAATTGTATTCCATTCTCAGTGGCAATGTCTGGTTCAAAGAAGAGTACTCAGAATCATTTCCTTCTGTACCACATTGTGGTTTTGCTCCCCACAAAAATAAATTTGCTGTGTTAAAACATTCTTTTTGCATGCAATCAAGAAACATTTCCTCAACAGGAAAATCTAATAGCCTGGTTAAAAATCATAAAGGATGGAAAGTTGTTAATTCCTACCTTGCAGTCCTTCAGCTTTTTCTGTATGTCATTGCTCTTCACTCTCCAGCCTTATAAATCAATGGAGACTTTTATCTCCTCTTATGATACACATTGCTCTGCTGCAGTAGGATAAAATCAGACTGAAAAACCCAGGGCAAAGAATTCCATGAAGTATTAACTTAGACATTTCAGAAGCACCTAAAGGACAAAGAAATTAATATTTACAGTCCACTTTCAAATGTGTGCTCACAGGGTATTTTGAAGTAGGAGGAATGCTTAGGAGCAATGCCTGAGTAATTCTTCTCAATTGCAAATCTGACTGGACACAGTGGTCCAAGAGATGAGAAGCCAAGACTGCCTCTCTTGTCTGCAGGCAAATCCCAGGGTGGGGAAGCCAATTTGTTGCAAAAGGCTGAAGAAGGCTTTGAACTGGCAGTGGTCGGTTTTCAGTGTATTAATAATCTGCCGAGAGACCTAGCACTCAGATTTGTGCAGAGTGAGGATGCCTGTTTGATTTTAAGGCGCTGATAGGTAGTGAGGGTCAGATATGCCTGGAACACACACAGATGTTCTTTCCGTGGTGCCACAGTAGTACTGTGGTGATCTAAAGTGAGATATTCTTGACCAGACAGACTTCCAAGTGGGTAACAAGCTCACACATATCCATTGGGAAACACAGCCTTTTTTCTCAGGTACTTATTACCCCATTTAGCCAGAGAAATGTTACTACCAGGAGCACTATCTTGCATTTAAATTCTTTCCTTGCATTAGTTTTAATCCACATATTTAATCATTCACACAGCAGAGTACAGTTTTTTGGTTGTTTTTGGTGGGGGGAGGGGGAACCCAAAACTTTATGTAAAATCTTTAACTGCACAAGGAAAGCTGACCAGTGTGAGAAAAACTTTACTCCCCAATGTAGGCAGTCTGTGTTGGAATGAAAATAGCTTTATCCTACAACAGTGATTTTTTTTCCTACCTGTAACTTCAAACCAGCTGCTGTGCAAGCTCTGCAATGGTTGGAGAGGCAGGTCCATTTTCGATGTGACTGAGGGCCAAATCCTCTATTCCTGCACTCTCTACAAGCTTAAATCACCATTAGCTCTATCACAGGGGTCATCAAACTATCCGGTCTGAAATCCAATATGATGTGTGTCACACAACTTTATCATGACTGAAGCAAAGGCACATCATTTTCCTTTGACTTCAGCAGATGGAGGATCCCCCTAGGAGCTAATTTCTGTTGGAACTATGTATATTTCATAACTGTTTCACAAGTAAAACTCTTCAAAAGGCGATTAACTATAAATATGTAAGCTAAGATGGTATTCTAACTTTCTTCAACACAAATATCCATGTCCATAAAATGTCTGAAGCACTTCAGCATCTGTCCCATGGAGGTCTCCAGTGGCTGAAACATGGATCATTTGCCCTTCATTATCTCTAACTTCCTGACATGTAAAAATTAGGAGAATTCATTAATGTTAGATTTTTTTATATCAGCTTCTTATGCATCTGAAAATGTTTATATACTCTAGACAAGTTTATATATAGACTTGGTATAGCCTGCACATTAGAGATGTCATTTTCTAGAAAGTTTTATGACCACCTTGCTGTTATTTTATAACTTCAGTTTGTAAAACTTGCTTGCAGATACTGAAATAGTGAGTTCCCTTGAAAATATTTGAAGCTGATTGTCTAATAAATAAAGATTCCCTAGATATTGATGTTTTTATTTTGGTAAACTGCAGGAAAGTCTCAGATATGGGCAGTGAAATGAAACTGATATTTCAGAGCACATTCTTGCAATCTGTGCATCCTGGAGACTCAGGCTGTGAATGTCTCATGCTTCCCTTCATCAATACAGGATAAAAGCATCCCCCCAGTACCTGCAACATCAGTCAGGTTTGGTGTGGTACCATCACCCCTACACTGAAGATAAGGGAACTGGAGGGCTGTAGTAGTAAGGGCAGGAGCTGTAAACAGTTTAAATGATAGCTTTACTCAGCTGTCACTGTTGGAACATATATTCAAATTTTTATATGTTGGAACATATATTCAAAACTGCCTGCCTTATGCCAAGGGTACCCAAAAGACTAACAGCTGGATCCACAAGGATGCTTTGTTGGCAGACTCACTTGGGTTTTCAAGGGAAGTTACACAGAATAGGAAAGCAGTACTAAAAGCAACTTTTTACCAAATTCTGGACTTAAGTATCTAGGACCAAAACACCTCTAAGGATCCAACACTTTGTATGACAAAAAAAAATCTTCAGATGAGTCTAAGCAGGGCTGAGCAGTGAAACGCCTCATGGGAGCCACACGAAGCTTCTCTACTCAGTGAGGGTGAAGCTGCCTTGACACAACAGTCTGTCAGTGATCAGAGAACCCCCAGAGGCACAGG